AGATCGAATTAATGATAATTATCTACCACTGGAGAAATTAAAACGAAAACAGACAGCACGGAACAACAAAAAAAGTAATTACCAAAATATATCAATCAGGTCTACCAAAATACGTGTGTCATGTGACACAGTGATATGCTCTCGATGTTAGATATTATTCAAATTAGTTAAACTTGCTGGGGACGGTGTTAACATAAAGTGACAACAAGTAGGTGATTTTACTTAGGGAATAGACTAATAAAAATGGCTAAACATTTAAAGTTCCTATAATACTAATTGTGGAATGAGATACACTTCCAGGTGCTAGACCATTCAATGCATTTTCAGAGGAGTAGTATGCATCGATGCAGTAAACAAATAATGGGAGTGATTTTATCGTGCGGACGGATTGTGGTAGGTTATTCCATAGTCTAGAAAATTTACAGGTGAAGTAATTCATTTAAAGAGATGATTTAGAATGAGTTTGTTTCACTAGTGCCAAGGAATCACGGATGTCATGATAAGAAGTTTCTGCATATTGAATCGCGTGATTAGATGTAAACTATAAAATATATTGATAATTCATAAAAATTAATATGTATTAACAATGATTTTGTTACATTAGTAAATTCAAAGCAAAGATGGGTGCTGGTTAATCGTGGAATTGAAATCTCGCATTCCGTCAGCTGGATGTATCTGCATCTCAGTGTTGATATTCCCTCTGGAACTCGAACCCAGTACTGTCAACTTCGAACGCTGTCACGCTATCCATTTAGTGACTGTGCCCTGATAGCCACTTTCTTGTGAAATAGAGTGATATTTAAATTCATTTGGTTTTGTTTATTTGAATCTTCCCATTAATGTTCGCGACTGCAATTGATCGGTCTCTTCACTACTAGTCACCAACCATCTTTGCTTAGAATGTTTGTGACTTAAGGCAATATCCAGGTAATCCGTACAGGGTGCGCATAGGAAACTGATCAATTGCAGTCTTAGACATCATTGGGAAGATTCAAATAAACAATACAAAATGAATTTAAACTAGTAAAGTTGAAAAAAGAAATGGACTGAATGCCGTGAATTTGTTTTGTATGTATATGAGTTTGAGCGACGGAGTTATCTTGAATAAATTCAAAGTATTTCAGGGAAAAGTGTGATGGTTTTAAAAAGCTTATTGTTTCTAGATGTTCATCATTAATTTCCGGATAATAATTTTGTAGAACTACCTTTACATAATCTCACTAATCAAAGTGATAATATACTCAAGTTAAACAGTTTCCTCCCGTATCTTTCTAATGGACATAGTTTGATAGAAAGTTAATCATCGCTCACAAAAATTTTTTTATTTACAAATTCATTGAAGAGTTATGGTGATCAAATAACAAGAGAATCATCGTTGTCACCATATGAATATGAATATGTCATGAGTAGAATTCACTATCTATTTTAACATTTCTATTATCCTAGCACCCCTATAATTCAGTGAACCATTAATAAATTTATTTATTTATGAGTTTATAACAGACATGGTGAACTGAAATAAGAACTGATTGCTTCATGTGTTATGTAACATCTATGTAAGAAAAAATGGAGCCATAAACAAGTTTGGTAACGTCATTTTATACTATGGTAACAAAATTTGTTCTTCTTAACATTTTTGGTCAATTTCTGATCAAAAGCTATAAAGTAACTTTCTAGAATTCCTACTGACTTATCCTTATACTACCTTCTTTACACTTTATATACTTACAACAGCCTATTAGCTGGAGATCAGATATTTATTTATAGCCAATTTAAGTATGAAGGTTTTTAAACGTTTTCATTGATGATCTTTGATGTTGTATGATGTTACAAACATTAATCCATTGGACAAATTATAAACACATTTTTAAAATTGTTCTCATAGACACAATAAATTCTTATGATAGGATAGTCAATATTTGTTCAATATTCATGTTCAGATCTGTATCACCCAGGTTCACAGTATTAGATGCTACCAAGAGTGCGCCGAATATATATGCGCTACATAAAACAACGAGAATTTAAAGAGAAGGAAAAAAAAAGTAGGGAGCGTAAAAAAAAGAGAACAATAACGAAGAGATTGGTGTAAGGTAGTGCAATAATAATAATAGTAATAATGGGGGAACGGAAACCTACAATCAGAAGAAGTCTTTCAATTAAGGAAGATACAACCATTTTTTATGAAGAAAGTAAAAAAAGGTTACAGTAGGATCACCACTGGCTTCTATTCTGAGCCATATCTGATAACGTCTCTAGCCACTGTGTAGCACCATCTCTCAGACCTCAGCCAGGTAGTCGTGAAGGACCAACACAAGCCATCCCTTTACAGCTTTCTTTCATGCCACGACATCATGTCATATACTGACCACCTCTCTGCTTTTTCCAACCAGTCCCAGAGTCGGCAAATAATGCACGACGTGGGATTCTCTGAGACGACATTCGTAGAACATGTCCAAGCCACCGAAGTCGGTGTTTCAAGATGGTGCTACCACCAAGCGGTGATTGATCTACTGTGCAACTGAAATAGTTACAGTCGGTCAATTACTGACTAGTGTCATACTTACCAAATCCCTCAGTGCTGATTAAATTCTATTTAGTAGATTGAGATATGGCCACCAGTTTAAGTAACCAAAAATACTCTGCTATTTTTTGAGATATTAAGTATTCGGAGTTAGTTAACAGAAAACATTGAAGTAATATACCGCACATGAATTCAATTCACTTAGTGTCCACATTCGATCAGCAATACAGAACTAGGTAAATATGGTATTGGTCATTCTTCCTCAATGATCAGTCAATAGTAAACTACTGATTCGTTTATTACATCATTCAGCAAAATCTAGTATCAGTCAAAGTTATCGATAAGTTATTTTAAGCATTATTCTTCTTCGAAATAAAAAAAACCCAGACAAAAGGAATTGTATCTTATCAAAGTTAAATAAGAAACTGTATCATCTTTCTTCTTCTTCTTTTTGTTCTTCTTCTTCTTTTTCTGCTTAATTTTATTTCTCAACGAATAAAACAGAAACAAAACTGAGCAGAGAGAAAAACGGTAAAAAAAAAGAAATCAAACGTCTCAACTTTCTATTTTTTCTTGTCTTATAACGTTACTAGTTATCGTGTGATAAATAAATAATATAAAATGAGAAAAAAAAACAATAAAAATTATATTCCATTTTTTTATATTTTTAATGCGGTATGAAGTTGGTATTATGGCTCTAGAGAAAAAGAACCAAAAAACAAAAACCCGGAGAGAACAGCTAAACAATATGGATGTTTACATCTATACACAGAAACAAAAAAGAACCCTCCCCCCCACCTTACGAAATTTCTACACTTTTATTCAATAAGTAAATTTAGTATTAAAGGGCTATGAACAAAGTTGATGTGTTTGTTTTTAGTTGTGACAATACACTGTAACTTTGATTTTTTTTTGTTTCTATACAAAAATAAATAGAAGTGAATGTCTAAAAGTGTTTAGGATAATAAAAAATTTCACACAAAAGTTTACTGACAGCTAAGAAAGTAACTTTTTTTGTTATTAAACGACTTCCAGAAATAGATTGTGGTTTAGTATTTTTGATGATTTATATCGTCAGTTGAAAAAAAAAGAAACTATTCTCACTAAATTAAAATAAAAAATGATTTTCATAGTGGAATTCACGAATCGATCAAGGCTAGATCAATATTGAAAGTCTGGAAGCACTTGAGAGCCATTTTGGTCATAGTATGGGATTTCTCAGCAGTGTGCATTCATAATCCCACACACGATACTCGAACAGTGGGTCTTCGGTTTCGTGTATGAATGTTTAACCTCTAGATTGACTAGTGAATTCAATTGTGAAAGTATTAAAAACTCCACAAATTCCCCATACTGATAAAATCTATTTGTTTACTATACTACTTTGAATTGATCCACTCATATAATAAATAATTTTAATAGTTGTTTCTAGGTTTCTCATGGGGGTCTATCTTCAAACGACTCATGAACTCGACTATTGAAATTACTATAATCTCCACAAAACCCCTTCTGATTCTAATCAACATATGCTCACTAGTGACTCGCTTCAAGTGGTATTTCTTGGAGTTCTATTGAGAAGTAGTGACCAGTGAAGTTCAACTGGGACTGGTGTGAGATAGTCACTCACTCAAGACAGTGATGGGTCAATTTTGTGGATTAGCTAAAGTTAGACATTTACACCGTTGAGTGCCAGCCGGCTCAGTGATCTAATGGTTAAGTGTTCGAGCGCGAGAATGGTTGGTCCTCAGTTCGAATCCCGCGAGATGGGATCATGGGTGCACACTGCTGAGGGGATGTAACGGCCACCCAGTGCTTCCACGTTACCCATGGTGGTTTCGCTTCAATTAACTCAAGATCCATAGTATTAAAATTACTATAATATCCACAAAACCCTTCTGATTCTAATAAGTGATTATTTAAGACGTACAAAGAACTGATCTATATTAAAATGAATGATCAGTAAACTATTTGACAATTGAGCAACTAGTATACCTTCTTCTTATTAATCATTGTTTCATTCAGTCTAGAAATTTTATTAAAAAATTCAGTGAGTTGTACATAGAAACGTTCTTGAGGTATAATGTATTTCATGAGATAATTATTTAACTATTCAATGATATTCATGATATCAGTCTAAACTCAACAATCTTCACAAGCCTATACTGATAATTCACATGTGTTCACTAATGATTGGCATCCATATGGATTTCCTGGAGTTCTATCAAAAAGCTGTGACCAGTGAAGTTTAACCGTGTCTGTTGTAAGACAGTTACTCACTGAAGACAATGGTGGAAGGCGATGCAAAATGGATTCGAAACTAGATAACAAATGAGGTTACGTACTAATCAAGGGGTAAGAAAGAACAGTCCATGAAATAACCAATAAAATATTATGTTTTAATTTCTATTTAACTAAGTATGGTTTGTATGTCTTATAATCTGTCATATTTTTGTTCTGCACTTTTTTTCTTTAATTATAGTTCTTCCAGCTTTCCCACCTCATTCAGATAAATATTTATCACTCCTTATTGGAAATACAGCAATTATTATTTGTCATTTACCACCGTCACAACCATCATTACCTACAGTACATTTTTATCATAACAATATAAGATTAGATTTAACACAAAGTAAGTGAATTCAAATGATACTTTATTGATGTGATATTGTCGTAAGGAAATGACTTTTATTCAAATATGTTATGATTTTATGTCCGGCTTTTTATCACAAGATTTATCCATCAATCAAAATACGAATTATACAATCTTCAAACTGTGCCAAAACCAATGAACAGTCTAGCGTCCTTATTGGTTGTATGTCCACCTAGCCCGTCCACTTGAGTTCAGAACACCAAATGCCAGCTTCCAATATGCGAATCGAATCGAATCGAATCGTTTATTTCAGACATACCGGGTTTATATATCAAACAAACAGACCGCAATGCACCATAAAATAAGAAATAACATTTGCACACAATAAAGCCGAAAGGTAACTTAGAACATGGGAGGCAGTAGTTCATAAACTGAACATAACAAACTGAACACATCGTACAATAATAAATTATAGGTCAAAGTAAAGCTTATAATAAGAGGAATGTAAATATACATAATCTAATTATTGAATAGTTATACCATAAGAATGTATAGATAATATTAGTCAATTAATATACCTCAGAAGTTAATTGTGATTTAATCTTCGCTCGGATATAACAAAATAATCTTAATTCGGTTAATGATTTGGATTTTAAACTAAAGATTAAGTTCTTGAGTTGTTGAGCTGTGTTTTCACAATTCAAATTAATGTTAAAATGACCGGAGAGACTATAATTGACGGACGAACCAATCAGGTATAAGATAATAGGTCTCGGAGTTTGGCGCGAAATTCACTTATCCATTTTGGATATATAGAGTTTTGGCATTATAGCTGATGTCAGTTGGTATTGAAAACCCTAAATCTAATTCCTAACCTTAAACATCAATTGTAAATCATCATTCGAATTCCTCATACTAATTTATAACCCTCATTTCATCCTAGTTATTAGGTGAACGCTCTCAAGGTTAGTTTAGCATCACTCAAAGGTCGTCCATAAATTATCGTCTCACCATATGATCTAATACAACAGCTGACACATTACTCTTTTTTTTACGATATCACACAAATATTTGGAAGCGGAATATTTTTCAAAATAGATTTCCGTCAGATAATAGATGGGAATATAGAAAGATTAGTAACCAAAATAAATGTTATTTTCCTCAATTTACATAGATTTTAGTATTATTCATATATAAATCAAATGTTCACTAATGGATTCAGTCGGTCAGCTGCAACTTAGGACCTGACACATGTACATCGGTCTAAGTTGCCATACCTCATTAGTACAACAAGATGAACGTCGGATTAATAGAAGTAGTTAATCCAGTGGTGGTAATATATAAAAGATCAAGTGATGAAATTATATATGATTTGATAATGTGTATTATTCAAGAGTTTGAGTACTTACATAATTACACCTGTTGACCCTTGTAGAGTATAGGTTGATGACCAGAATTCTTCAGCCATCCCTATTCTCCTCTTTCCTTTTCAACTGTTTCTAAGTGATATTCATTCTTTTGATGTCTACCTTCAACTCTTGAGTTAGTGTGTTGTTTGGTCGGTCTCTTTTCCTCTTTCCGTCAGGATTCAAAGTTAGGACTTACTAAGTGATATAGTTTGGTGATTTACATAATGTATATCCTAATCGCTTCCAGAGTCCAAGCGTGTAATTGACAAACAATTCAATCAAATACATTATTAAGAGTAAATATAAGAGCAGTCTGTTCAAAACACGAAATTTTAATTTACAAAATGCTACTTGAATTAAGATTCATATGTGGTGCGTGCTACTTATATTGATATAAGTAGTATATAACGTGAGTCAAAAGAACGTAATGGCTGGGAGCAGAAGATGGAGAAGATCAAGAAAAGAAGAGCGAGAAAACAATGGAATTGGTAAGAAATCGCATGAGCAATGAAATGCGAGACAATGGATTGATGTTTGCAACAGCAACAGCCCGGTTTGATATGATAGAATGATATTTTGCAAATTAACGATTTACTATATGGTTTTTCTATTTTACCAAGTAATTCTGTAATTTGTCCTAAATACAATTTGGCTGTCCTCACCCGTGTTCTTCTTCACTACACATACTATATTAAAGTACAGTGCGCATCGTTGTCATCATTGTTTAAAACAATCTTACATATTTATCGAAAGTCAGAATTTTCTAAATCATTGTTGTTTTTAAGTTTGATAGTGTACTAATAGTCACACTATTTGCCACAATATGGTCTTTTGTATATTAAAATCAAAATGAGATATCTGGAGAGTCGTTCATTTTAGTAATCTTAGTACCTCAGTTCACATATCAACCATACAAAAAAAAACCAATTTTCATATGCTATCAACTGATAGTGACATAAAAAAAAACAATCTGCAGATGTTAGGTCCCGATAAACAATGAATGGTAACTTTTGGGATATATTTATAGACCAATAATATGCATATATTTTCATCGTATAATTGTTAAATAACTAAACTGTTCATATTCCTGACCGTCTTATTATGAGCTTTATTTTGACCTATGATCTAATATTATACGTTTTACCATTCTTGAATTATGCCCTGTCTATTGGTTACTGCCTCCCACATTCACAGCCACAATTGGCCAAATTTTGTATAAATGTTGTTTTCTGATTTATGCCACGTTGTGATATGCTTGATTGGTATATAAACTCAGGATGTTTCAAATATAAGGATTCGTATTACAGAGGCTGAGGCTGATTTTCTGGATTTAACTCGCTGGGCTAGGCGGAAAGCAGGACCAGTCAGGATTCTAAGCTGTTCGCACGTGTTTTACGCGTCCTTAGTCCGATCGATAATTCGCTGCTTCTGATCGGCGGTTTTGGGCTATAACAGCAGATAATATATGTATATGTTGCTACATATAGGGTATGGTCACAAAATTATAAGGACTGGGAACGTTCAAGGTATGTTTTAATGTAACACTGATACTATCAGTTGGGTTAGCAGATTTAAACACTTTTTCAAAACAACATTTCGTTGACTTGACCAAAGAAACTTTTTATTTTTTGTTGTTGAAAATTTACCTCTATTCAGCTGACAGATATCGTTTAATTTATATTGGTGGTGATGATTCTGGGTTACCATGGGAAGTATATTCACAGAAACCTCATTTTAGACAAGAACATTTAAAGAAATACAAACCAAGTGCTGTTATCTTGCTCATTCATTCACTTCAACTTTCTGACACTGGACAATATTATTGTTCAGTAAGCTTATTCGATAAAACAATTTCATCAAATCAAAGAACTCATCTGGTTGTGACAAGTAAGTTATTATCTTATTAAATAATTTTTGTAACAAAAATATGTAACTTATTAATTTCTGTTTTGATAAAAGAATTTGGAAGTGGATAGGACTTACATTACGGAAATCACCAAACTGCATCTGGAAGTAAGCCCTAACTTTGAATCCTGAAAGGAAGCAGAAAAGAGGAAGTTCGACGAACACACTACGATGATAATTGGAACCAGATATGAAAAGGATGAATAACAACTGGAAAGAACCGGAAAGATTTGTTCATGACTGAGTTGGATAAAGAGTGCTTGTGGGTAACCTATGCTCCTACACGATGATTAACTGGCCTAAGGAAGTAAATATGAAATGATTTAGGTATACAAACTTCTGAAAAACGAATAAACTCCTTCTTATGCCATTATAGTGTGTTTAAGATAAATATATCAATACTGGTCTACTGTACAAGAATCCAGTTAGTCGTATTTTCAAATCCATAAACTGTTGAGATATTGAAATTTGGAATAATGGAATTAACCATCGTCGATAAAGGTTAAAAATAGTGCTACAAATTGATTGAATTATCAAAGAAGATGCAGACCATTGCCTAAAAATTCATTGTGTTTACCTACAATCATTCTGACTATGATATTTGAAGATACTTGGTTCCAAACTAAGAAAAAAAACACTTTAAGGAAATATCAATTTACCAATCTTAATTTTTAATACCTCACTAGTTGACGATATTGCAGCCTACTCCTATACCATTGAGCATCACACGTCGAGGCAGTCGGTCGTTGGGCATACGTAACACATGTCCCAGCCATCTCAACTGATGAATTTTCACTACTTCATCGATTTATTTGCCATACTTATCTAGTACCCGTTTTCTGACAACTGCGTTACTTACTCATGCGCGAGAATGATAGTTCCTGGGTTAGAATCTCACGAGGCGGGATCATGCATGTGTATTGCTGAGGAGTCCCATGCTGGGTCGAAACAGCCATCCAGTACTTACAGGTTTTTCCATGATGATCTAACTTCATTTGACTCATGAATTCATTTATTACATTGTTTATTTATTATATCTAATTCCATATAGAAAAAAGATTCCATTCACGTGATGTCTTAAATGTAACATCACTTTAGAGATACATGTATCTAGTAAACTAAACCAAGTTGATCGTTTAAAACTAAATCCATTAGATGAATTCAGGTCAACTTTAGATAACAAATGAAATGGATTTTAAATGATAAATGTTTCATTCCTGGTTCGTTTCTTTTAAATATCAACAATATAAGGAATAAGTAATGCATTAAAAGGATAAAACATTTAAGTAAACATGTATTCTTGTATGATTGACAAAATAGTGTAAAAAAACAAGGAGAACAAAAAAGGAAGGAAACAAACGTTTTATTCACATTTCTTTTCTTTCTGTTTTTTTTTCTTTTTAAGTTAAAATGACCTAACAGGATGTAAATTACACTTGTGTTAACCCTTTTTTTCCCTTATTTTATGTTACCTCGTTCCTAGATTTTTTTCTTTTTTTCTTTTTTCTTTTTTTTTAAATCACCAATGTTAACACGGTATTTTTTGTTTCCTCAATTGTTTCATATAACACTAGTCAACCTACTTATATATTTACATGTCAATAGAGTAATTAGTTAATTTGTATACAAGAGATAATTGAATAGGTAACAACTGTTCTATGATAGTTTCATTCGATGTTTCCATTATGATCTAATTTATGGTTATATTCATAAATTCCTCTGATTTAAAAAGTAAAAAGAGCTCTTTTATTTAGAAAACTTAAATACGAGAGTTGTTCATATAGTTAGAAGATACATCGCGCGCGACTGATGGATCCTGGATTTTAATCTCGCAAAAAGGGGGGGGGAAAGTGCATGCACACTGCTGAAGAGTTACACAGCAGTATGAAACGGCCGTCTAACACTTCAAGGTTTTCAATGGTGGTTTAGCTTCAATTGATTCATAATCGTAACTTAAAATTACTATAATATGTATAAATATCCCTTCTGATATTAAGTATCTCTTTGTGAGAAAAACGAGCTACCATAGTTAATCAATACATAGAGTTTGAAAATAGACGTTACCATAGGTTGATATTAATCGGGGAAGCACTTGAAATTAAAAAGTGCCAAACAGCCCTATCATAGTGTTTTGAAGCTTCTCAGAAGTGCACTCCTACTATCTTCAACTATGATAATTCAGCTTGTGAGAACCATACACTAAATACTTCATTTGTGAAATGTCAATCAATCGTTTCAGATTTCAATGTTCCTTTATTTCCACACCAATCATTCTCTGTTCTCGTTCTCTTTTTTTCGATCTTGTCAACCTTCTACAGCAAGGTATATCACTTTTGATTGATGATACATACTACTTATGTCCGTTGACATCAGTAGCACACACCACATTATTAACAGTAATCATATTATAATCGAGAACTCTGAGTGGTAGTCGTAATAGCTAGAATAGTTGTGAAATTTTCAAAAAGAAATGTTTAGTTAAAAAACCTGATATTTGAAATTTCTATTGTATAAATTAGGTTAATGCTAAACCTTTAAAATATAAGCAAAGGATTGAAATATCTTCAATAGTAAAGGGGATTCGTGGATATCGTTGCGAGACTTGTATAGTCCATGATTCTCTAGTAGGGTTATCCATGGATATTGCTGAAGAATCCTATACTACGACAAATAGGTATTCAGTATTTGTCTAAGTCAACCAATTTCATAATATAAACCGTAAAATACAGAAATTAATCACTTGGCTTAAAGAATGTTGAATATTTCAAAGTTCAAGGTATCCTTTAATAGTAGAACCCTAATTTTTGCTAACCACTATTGCATTGTATTAGGACAGGCAACTAAGCATCAAGAATATTTAAACAGTTGGTCATAACTAAAGGTAGAAATTGAAAAGGATGGATGAAAAGATACTTACTTCCTTACGCCTGTTACTTCCAATGGAGCATAGGCCGCAGACCAGCATTCACCAACCCACACTGTCGTGAGCCTTGTTTACGAATTACATCCAATTGTTGTTCATTTTTCTCATGTCTATCTCCATTTCTCGGCGTAATGTGTTCTTTGGTCTTCCACCTCTCCTCCCCATTTGGCCTTGAGGATTCCATATGAGGGGTTGTCTTGTGACGCAGTTGAGTGTTTTCCTCAATGTGTGTCCTATCCATTTCCTGACTTCTTCCTCTGCTGGGATCTGGTTTGTTCTCACCCACAGTACGTTGTTGCTAATAGTGTCCGGCCAACGAATCCGAAGTATTTTGCGTAGACAACTGTTAATAAACACCTGTATCTTCTGGATGATGGCTTTCGTAGTTCTCCAGGTTTCTGCCCCGTACAGTAGAACTGTCTCGACATTTGTATTGAAATTCCTGACCTTGGTGTTGGTTGACAGTTGCTTTGAGTTCCAGATGTTCTTCAGTTGTAAATATACTGCTCTTGCTTTGCCGATTCGCGTCTTCACATCTGCATCAGATCCACCATGTTCATCAATGATACTGCCCAAAAATGTAAAGGTTTTTATGTCTTCCAAATCTTCTCCGTCAATTGTGACTGGATTGGTGCATGCTGAAAAGCGCTAAACTGAAATTTGATGATGATTCAAGGAAAGAGGAAAAGTAAATACATGTGTCCAACTATCACTGATTTGGATCATAGAGCTCAAAAATGAACAAACGTTATCCGCTTTTTTTGAATGTCTTTCAAAAATTAGGCATAATATCATTCCACTTATTTCAATATTTGGTCTAATTCTTTTCTTCCAAACTACATTTGATATACTTATTCCAAGATTTCTTTACACCTCATTATTCCGTCTACTTTTCTTTTATTCTTATTGTAATGACGTAAAGCTTCATAGTTAAGTGTGATGCATTTTTAAATCATGCTGTTTCAAAGTAACATATTATCTAGTATTAAAAAACAAAGTGTCACAAATAACAATTTTATCTTTGATGATTCCTCGGTTTCAAGAAAATATGAGAGTTGAATTCATGAATCCATTGAAGCTAGAAATTAATTCAAAATTCAATCAATTAGTGAAGAACATTGAGTTTTTAAACTTTTAAGTGATACATTAAGGTAGTGAATGTTTATCTGCAGAGATAAATAGAATGCCAGATCAGTGGTCTAGTTGGTTGAACGCCTGGCGCGAGACTGATAGGTCCTAGGTTCGAATCTCGCGGGAGGCGAGATCGTGGATGCGCACTGCTGAGAAGTCTCATACTAGGGCGAAACGGCCATCCAGTGCTTACAGGTTTTCCATGGTGGTCTAGCTTCAATAGACTCATGATTTCAACCAGTGAGAATCAAATAACCCAATAAGAGTAGAGGATAAACATCCATTATTCCCTATTACCAAACACATAATAGAAACAGGTCACAAGATTGATCTTAACTCAGCTGTTGTGGTGTTGTACGAAAATTCAAAAAGGGGTATACTATGGTTTATTGAAGCCTTAGTCATAAGAAAATTCAAAACCCCTCTGTGTATTCAAGAACAGTTTGTTCTCACTTCCAGAGGGATGCTATTTCAAATTGTTTCCACATTATTTCCTTTATTATACTTGTCTCCTCATACTCTCCATTTCTAGTCTAGTTGACCTTTTATTTATATATACATATAAAAATGTTCTTAAGAAGTATATAATATGATCAGATTGCTCGGAATGTAATGCGCTAATATATACCACATAGTTCTGATAATCTTCGTCTTATTACACTATAGAAATTTATCAAAGGGACTAATCGATTTAAGATTTTCATTTACTCAACAAAGAAATATAACATAGAGACATTCATTGATCGTATAAAATTCTTTTTTTTTGTATACATGATTACTGTTGAATACACCAAAGATTTAAAGTTCCCTATTGCATTCATATTAAATCTTTTTATGAAAATTAATTTTTCAAAATAGATTTTGTAACAATAAATCAACTTCATGGATTGGTTGAAGTTAGATTTTGACACCATTAGATGCTGGCTCA